AATCAATGCAAAAGAAACCACAAAAATTACGCAAATGCACAGAAACTAAATAATACCCTCCCCAACAATCAGTGATTTATAGAAGAAATCAAGGAAGAAATAATACAGTTCCTAGAATTAAACAATAATGCCAGCACAACCTACCAGAGTTATGGGGCATAAAGGTGTCCAAAGAAAAGAGTTCATAGTTGTGAATATGCACACCAAAACAGCAGCAAACCCAGGTAAATAACATATTGATATAACTGAATTTCTTAGGAAAAGAACAATCCAATTCCAAAGTTAGTACTAGGACAGAAATTATAAAAGTCATAGCAGAAATTAGTGGAATTGAGACTAAAAATTCCAAATAGACAACAAATTGAAGAGTTGATTCTTTGATAGAATCAATAAAATAGAAAAGCCCTTAACTAATGTTGCCCCAAAAAGGAAATAAAAGACAAAGCAATGCAGTTAGAAATTAAAAAGGTAAAGTTACAATGGACAGTGCCAAAACTTAGTTGATTATTAGCAGTTATTTCACAAACCTGTATGCTAATAAAGTGGGGAATTGAAAAGAAATGGATAGACTCATACAAACTGCCAATATGGAACCAGGAAGATATAAAAACCCTAAGTAATACAATAACAGGCAATAAATTAAAGTAGAAAATTTTAAAAATTCTACCAAGAAAGAAAAGCTCAGGTCTGGATGAATTCACTGCTAAATTTTACAAGAATTTCAGGGAAAATTGAACATAATGCTCCTCAAACTCTTTTAATAAAATTGAAAAGGAAAGAATATTCCCAAAATCATTTTTGGTTGTTAGAATTACTCTAATTCCAAAACCAGACAAGGATCCAACCGAAAAGGAGAACTAAAAGTCAGTCTCTTTAATGAACATATATGCAAAAACCCTCAAAAAGATACTGGTAAATAAAATGTAACAAATCATCAAAAAGATCACGCACCATGACCAGGGACCCAGGAATGGTTCAATATACGCAAATCAATAAATGTAATGCGGGGCTGGGGATTTAGCTCAGCTGCAAAAGCACCTGCCTGGCAAGCACAAGGTCGTGAGTTCGGTTCCTGGTACTGGAGAAAAACAAAACAAAACAAAACAAAAAAATAAATAAATGTAATGCATTTCCTAAACAGAAGGATGGACAAAAATTACATGATTACCTCCACAGATGCAGAAAAAGCCTTTGACATCTATTAATGATAAAACAAATAACCCTGAAGAAAATAGGTACAGAAGGGAATTATCTTAATCTGATAGAAGCCATTTATGATAAACCTACCACCAACATCATATTAAATAAGGGTAAACTGAAAACTTTTCCTCTAAAATCAGGAATAAGACAAAGATATCCATTGTTACCACTCTGGTTCAACATAGTACTTGAAACAGAGAAATTAGACAAGAAAAAGAATTAAAAAGTATACATAAAGGAAAAGAAGAAGTCACATTATCATTATTTGCAGAGGACATGATTCTCTACACAGAAGACCAAAAAATTCCACCAAAGGACTCTTAGAACTAATAACCAAATCACCAATGTATCAGAACAAAATCAACACACACAACCCATAGCATTCCTGTAAAAAATCAAAATATCAAAAACATTTCTTACAAAATTAGAGAAAATAATGCTAAATTTTATAAAGAAATAGAAGAGACTCAGAATAGCAAAAGCAATCTTGTGTGATGAAAGAATACAAAAAGTATCTTAAGTCCAGATTTGAAGTTGTGTTACAGAATTGCAGTGATTAAAAGCAGACTGATATGGGGAAAATAGATACATGGATGAATGGAACAGAGAATGCACAAACACCCCCAGGTAATTAAAATATTTGATATTTGAAAGGGGCCAAAACATACACAGGAGTAAAGATATTCTCTTTCATAAACGGTGCTAGGGAAATTGACAGTCCATATGCAAAAAAGTGAATCTAGATCCTTATCTTTCACCATGTACTGAACTAAAATTAAAATGGATCAAAGATATAAATGTGAAAACAGAAATAATGTGCTGGAAAACAAAATAGGTAAAACTCTTGAGGTCATAAGGATAGGCAAGACATTCTGAACAGAACCCCAATTCCTCAAGAAATAGTATCAAACGCCAAGTGTGGTGGCACACACCTGTAATCCCAGCACTGGGGAGGTTGAAGCAGAAGGATCATTGCGAGTTTGAGACCAGCCTGGGCTACAAAATGAGCCCAAGGCCAGCCTGAACTGCATAGTGAGACCCTGTCTCAAAAAGACAATAAATAAATAAATAAATAAATAAATAGTACCAAGAATCAACAAATGTGATCATATCAAACTAAAAACTTCTGCACACCAAAGTAAACAACTGACAGAGTGAAGAGATAACTTACAGAATGGGAAAAAAATTCTGCTGGCTATCCCACAGAGGACTACCATGTAAAAAACAAATGAAGAATTAAAAAACATTAGACCTCCAAAAATAAAAGACCCAATCAAAAAATGGACAATTGGAAATAAATACACACTTCTCAGAAGTACAAATGACCAATACATGCATAGAAAAATCTTCAGGATCTTTGGCCATTATGGAAATGCCAATGAAAACCATTCTAAGATTCCATCTTATTCCAGAAAGAGCGGTAATCATCAAGAAATGAAAGAATAGAAAATGTTGGCAAAGCTGTGGGGATAAGGAAGGCTTCTGCCTTATTAGTGGGTATGTAAACTAGTACAGCCACTATGAAAACCAGTGTGAAGATGTCTCAGAAAAACTAAAACTTGATATTTCATTTCACCCAGCTATTCCCCTTTTAGGTACCTTCTCATAAGAGTTAAATTTATCACATTGTAGTGATACATGCATACCCATATTTATAGTGGCATAACTCATAAAATCTAAATCTTGGAAGTGACCTATATGGCCATCAACAGATGAGTGAGTGGATAAAGAAAATGCACCATTTCTACACAACGGAGTAGTATTTTGCCATAAAGAAGGATAAACTAGAGTCATTTGTAAGAGAATGGATGCACCTTGAGATGATAACATCAAGTGAGATAAACCAGACATGCAATCTTAAACAGCATGTGGTTCCTGCTATACAAGAACACCCCCAAAATAAATGAAAAGCAAAATAAAGATGGATAATAATAAAAAGGGAGGCACATCTTTCTCATATGAGAAAGGTATTAAGAGATGGGAAGGGGGAGGGCTTGAAAAAACAGAATTAAGACCTGTCATGTACATGTACCAACTCCCCATAAGGAATGTAATCATTATATACTGGAAACATGTAATAGTAAAAGAAACCAGGAAAATATAAAATAAATCCAAATGTATAGAAAAATAAAAGATACATAAAAAATTTTAAAAAGAGAAAATATTTATCATAGTATCTGGCCCAGAATAAATGCTCAGAAATTGACAATGCATTCTGTTTTCTTTCCTCTGTTCCATGTAAATTTGAAAAACATATAAGGCAAAGACTATAAAAAAGAATCAGCCATGATTCCTGTGTGTAAGTAGTTGAAGGTATATTAGGAGGTAGCAGTGTGAACAAGAAATTTGTATACAGATTCTAAGACAGAAGTGTCTAAGGTCCACCGTGGAAACATAAAATACAGCTATTTTGTGTGGTAAGATGGCTAGCGTATACAGCTAACGTTCTGTGTAGCTTGTCATTCTGATAAAAGATATAAGCCAGAGCTCCCTATCTGGTAATTTCTTGGTTTACAGGAATGAGACTCAGGCTGGGACTACAAACCTTATCTCCTCTCCACTATTTCCCCACTCCTCCCTCTTTACAGGCAAGTTTCTAAAAATGCTCTCCATGCTGTTTTCACTCCTTTGTAAGTCCCCTTCCCCTCTGCTCTGATACTCTTTGCACCCTTCTGCCTCTGTTTTTATTCCCTTTTTCCCATCCCTCCTTTTCTGCCTTTCCCCATATCTTCTCCCTTGGATGTATTTCTTTTCTTGATCTATAGTGCTTCCATGGCCCCCATTCTGACTTCAGTTGTCACATGTGTGCTGTATTTTCAACCTAGTTCTCTCTCCTGGATTATAGATCCAGGTCCCTTGAATGCTCCACCTGGATACTCCACAGTAGCTCAGACTCAACCTGTATATACTTAATTTTAGTTCATGATGTCACCTTCCCTGATCAACCAAGCAAGAAACCTGGGAATATCTAGGTTTCTCCTACATGTCCTCTCAATTCTGTGAACAAAATGCTTCTCAAATTTCTCCCTTCTCTTCTACTCCTTATTCACAATTGTGTCACCTGGATTTTCTTTTTTTTTCTTACCTCACTGCAATAGTCTCCTAACTGACCCTAGTACTTCCAGTATTTTCTTAGTCTGGGCTCCCAACCTCATAAGGTCAGTTAGCTTTCCATATGACTAAGACACACCAAGGCTAAACTCTTTAGTCCAACCTTCAAAATTATTTACAATTTGGCTCCTCCCTATGTTTCCAGTTTATTTCCTCCAAGATCCTGAAATATAATACCCTATTATGAGCTGAATTGTACCTGCATATCCCCCAAATTTATATATTGAAATCCTAACCCCTGGTACTTTAGAATATGACTATATTTTAAAATAGGGTATTGAAAGAATCAGTTAAGTTAAAATAAGATCATTAGGCTTGGGCCTAATCTAATAAAGCTGGTGTCCTAAGAAGAGAATGTTAGGTAGCAAAAATATACAAACAGAAGAAAAACCATGTGAAGACACAAGGAGAAGATCTCTATCCGTGAGCCAAGCAGAGAAGCCTCAGAAAAACCCAATCCAAAGTATCCAGTAGAAGATATCCCAACCAAGATATCTTGATCCCAAATATTTTCTTTGTTTAAACCACTTAGTCCACAAAACATTGCTATACCAGTTCTAGAAAACTAGTGTACAGACTATGAAATACATTACTCAGTCTGGGTTCCCTTTATTTTGGAACATACCACACTTTTGCTCATGCAGTTTCTTCTTACCACACATTTATTGTCCACTTGTATTATCGTTGAAAATAAAGTATTTCTTTTGGTTATGTCCATCAAACTTAGAAGTAATTTTCTTTCCTTGAAGATTTATTTATTTGGTTCTTGTAAAAAAAAAAAAAAGCAATCATTACCTCATATTTCTATGTTTTTCTGCAAAATCATACCAGTCCTCTAAGACAGGACCAGAGTGAAAACAATCGAGTTAGACAGAGTGGTTGCTTGAAGTGCTGTATTGACGGAGTTGCTGAAAATATGCAGAATGGATGTAAGCTGGTGGTTTATTAAATGGAGGATCAATGTGAAAAATCCATGCGCAGGAGGAAGTCCAGATTTCCAAATAGATACTTACCCGGCAGGGGGGTACCATGATCAGACTTCCAACTAGGACAACCTCATGGATCGTGCTGATACCTGAAGCTGTAGACAGGGAACTTTAGAGGAGATACTGTGTGGGAAAAAAATGAGAAATTAGTTCAGTACTACACCTGAGTCTCAGTGGAAATCAGGGAGATATCTTCCGTAGGCAAATTGTTCTACAAGCCTGTGGCTCTGGATATACATTGAAAAGGGATATTTGGGCTTATAATATTCATTAACTCATATTGTGTTTAGCTGTGGATTTTTTGGCACATATTCCATTAGAAAATTAGCTTCAGTCATGCATATAAAAGAATTCTGTATTGGAATTCTAGTCTCATAACTAGTATATTACTTTAAATAAGTACTTGTTGATTGATCAAGAAAATGTATGTGTGTGGAATTTTTAATGTATGTTATTTATTTTTCTTATTATTGCACTAGCTGGGACCTCCTTACGGTGTTCAATAGGAGTGGTGAGAGGACCTATGTGGGCTTTAAAAAATGTATATAGCTATAGAATTTAGTAGTATAATCTGACACAATTGGTTAGTGAGGTTGAAATGGGAATAATATTATAGCAGAGACTGTTGGTGGTCCTCTAATATGCATTCTCCTCTTCCTTCTTTGTAACAGGATTTTAGATGACTATGTGGTCTCTCCAAGTCATCACTACAATTCATAGCTCCCTTATTGATGTGGCTATGTGGACAGACGCTGGGATGTAAGTCAGAATGTGAGGCTGCCTCTAGGAACTTCTCTCAAATGGGGCTAGTAGATGGTTCTCCTTTGGTTCTTTTCTGCACCTTTCTCCTCTCTATACTCTGAGATGAGGATGTTACTATCGTAGAGCATAGGACATCAGGGTCATGAGTGAAGTTATGAAATGAAAGGATCTTTGCTATGTCAGAATCACCATAGCAGCAGCCCTGGGATGCCTGTTTGGGCTTTTAAGAGGGAGAAAAACTGTTTTGTATAAGCCACTGCCACTTTTTTTCCCCTGGCAGTCAACATAATCCAAGGTGCTATGGAAGCTCTGAAATTAGGACATCTACCTAAAAAGAGACTGCATAGCCTGCATACAGGGTAATGGAAACAGCAAATAGAAAACCCCACAGATATGACAGACTAGTACTTTTGCTGAATGGCAAGGAGTTTGTCAAAGCTGACCTATAACAGAGATAGTTAGATTTGAAGATTAACAATAGCCAGGAAGCTAGGTATGTTGGTGCAGGCCTGTAACCCCAGCACTCAGGAGACTAAAGCAAAAGGAATATTGTACATCTGTGTGTCCAGCTAGGGCCAGTTAGTGACTTAGTGAGACCATTTCTCCAAATAAAAAATAGAAAAGAGCTGATGTAATAGCTCATTCAGAAGGTCCTGGATTCAATTTCCAGTCACACACACACGCACACATGCACACACATACAGAGACAGGAGTCTGCTAGCAAAAGGTCTGTCCTATTAAGGCAAGGATCTCAACTCTCTTGTGCATCTTTAGAATGCTTTTTTTTTTTTTCCAAGAGAAAAACAAGAAGAGGGAGATACCTCATCCAGCTATTCATCTGTATAAACACAGAAGTTGAGGCAATCTTATTAATATATCTTTCAGAGAGAAACTAAGGATCACGCAATTCTAAAGAGGTAATGCTGGAACAATACATAAACATATCACACTTGACCCTATGAATAACCAAGAGGGTCATCTTTTAAGAGTTGTTCTCCTATCTGTTATCCACAGGACTAAATTCTACCACTGACATCTTTAATAGTTCTTATTCAGGTATGACTGAGTTAAGACAAGAAGCAGTTAAGAGGTAGCAAAATCAATTACTTCCCAATTTTGCTGTTACCTGACACTCATGAAGGATCATGCAACAGTGGATGTGAACCAGAAATCAAGGCACAAAATTGATAGCATGTAAATGTGACCGGGGAGGAAACACCCTCCTTGGAATAGTAAGGTGCTTACCACATCAGCAAGTATGGTTCCAAGAAGAAGAAATCAGGGGACTAGTGTTGCTGATAACATCTCCCTTCTAACTGTTTATACAGACAATCTGGCTGGTTAGGGAGGGAACTATCCCAATAGGCTGCTAAAGAGAGCTGACAGATTAAGGGGAGAACAGCATGCAACTGATACTACCACATGGACAGCAAAATGTGTTGGCTGCCTAATGTGAGTCTTCCTCGCCACCACCACTCTTCCATTTATGTTCCCCAGAACAGGTTCAGTCTTATTTGCCAAAGGAGGCAGGGGTGGGAATATTGTTGGCTTTATGCCCACCCAGGTATCTGCTGGGAGAATTTTGCGCATGCTGCTAAGTGCCCAGTGACACTCAGGGCTCCCTTTTACATTCTTAATTACCCTGAAATTCAGCCACATGGTCCCTCTGCCTGCCTGGACCAGTGCTGTATAGCAGCTGGTATTAGAAACCAACTGTGTTTCAAGAGCTCTCTTGTTCCAACCTCAATCTCTCAGGGACGATCTTCCCAAGCCAAGGAGAGGACAGAATCTATGTGTGCATGGATATGTATATGTGAGTGCAACGTGTGTGTGTGGCTCTATGGATGGGTTTCTTGGTTCCAGGCAATGGTCTATATTTGTATGTGAATATATGCATATATAGGAATCGATACTTGCTCATTTCTGAGGATTTCTTAATTATTGATGATGATTTTGGAATGAATCTGGTGGACAATATTTTAGGCTTTCATGAGGAACCTGAGTGTTCCAGTGTTAATGTCATGAGGCACCTAAATAGTCTAGAAAAATATCTGATTATGCTTATCTTGCCTGAAAGAAGAAAAGCAGTTTTTAGAAGTTGCTTCTTGATATGAGGACAGAGCAGAAGAAAGTGAAGTTGAAGGTGTTTTGGAAAAATTTTGAGTTGGGATTACCTCACTCTCCCTATACACATTTTCAAACTTCATCTTCTAATTTGGTCTCAAGAGAATGGTTTGAAATGGGCATTTGTGAATTGCATAATTTTGTGGATTCAAATGTGCCACATACAATTGTATATATCCATATGTATGTGGACATAAATATATACATTACTTATACATTAGCATATATACATATACATTAACAGGCTTATGCAGCGTGTGATGTGCAAGGTGTTTTATTAGAAACTTTTGGAGATGGGAAAGTAGTCTTTCCCTCAATCTCAAAGATTTCAAACTCTGTTAATGATGAAAGTATAATAGAAAGTAGTGAGTATTAGAATCAAATAACTATGTGATAATTTTGTAGGAAAGAAATTCAAAGATGGGGGAAATGCCCCCACTATATTGTTAGGGAAGACTGTTTCTAGGAGCTGGAACGTGAGCTTATACTTGAAGTATCAAGACATTATTTTATATGAGTATGCTGTTGAAAACTGCCCCTGAGAAAAATAACAGAAAAGGATAAACCAATAAAAACAGATGGGAACAAGTCCCAAAGCTTCCAGACATCTCAGTTTTAAGGCTGTAGTGAAAAAGTGACTCACCTGAAAGGAGGTGGCCGTTTCCATGAAAGCAGCTTTCCTCTTTAACATTCTAGGAAGGCCTTATTCCCATCTGACAGAGAGGCATCACTCCCACTATGAAGGAGGTCTCATTTCCACTTTTCCTCTTTTCACCTATAAAGCTAAAGAGTGAATCAGAACAGGAAGATGCACTGATAGGTCATTGTCCATTCAGGAAAATAGATTGAGTAAGCCTTTTATCAGTAATTGTTTAACAAGCCTACATTAGCAATATATAAACTCCGTGACATTAGGCTTAGCATTGCTCTCAAAATGTTTCATAAAGCAATATGAAATCATACAATCATGTGACATCAACAGTGCGTGTGGTTGGAAGTCTTCAGGGAGCATTATTAAACAAAACTAAAAATTATGAAAAAAAAATAAAAATTATGAATGGCTTTATGGACAAAGGGAAAGTTCAGCTGAGTTAATTTTTCCTAAGTTTTGAATCAAAAATGGAAATAATATAGAACTGTGTCAAAGATGGTAAACATATTTGTCAATATGATGGGAATGGAATGGTCATTGTCACTTATGGGAGAAATCTCCTTAGGATATCACTTCAAACTTCTTTTCCTGACAGATTAAACCTACTCTATCAAATCTGATGATTTGGCTTACTGCAGTACATAATCCTGACATAAAAGTCATATAATAATGTTACTTTGTAAGATTTGAAGGTATTTACAGTAGCTCTAGATAGAAAATCCAGTACCATTTTTATTCAAATCTTTCACTGGTTCAACATAAAATTTAACCATCTTATGTCATATCATATCCATATCATGTGTAATTTGACCTCTAAAAATTAAATTGGATGTAAAAATTATTCTTGAAATATTATTAAAAAGTTTTTTTTTTTTCCCGGTACCTGGAATTGAACTTATAACCTTGCATTTGCCAGGCAGGCACTGTGCCGCTGAGCTAAATCCCCAGCCCCTTGAAAAGCATTTTAAAGTTTTAGATCCTATTAACAAAGGCTAAAATCAGTGTATGTATTTAGGGAAAATGGGCTCACAAAAGCATGCTAGGCCATTCTTGGATGAGAGTGTTAGAAAAAAAATCACAATTATTATTACAGTCTGATTATAAAATGGTAGCAATAAAAATTATTTCCTGAATCATGTAAAATATAGCCAAAGTTTCCATTAGAAGCAAGTTGATCATCATAAATAATTTAGTGACAGAAAATCATTCATGCCATGCAGATAGAAAAATGAAATCAACCTAAGGAAAACAGGCAGGATATAACAGTAAAGACAAAAGCTAAGATAACAAGAGAAATTAATAAATTTGGAACAAAAAATCAGTAAGGATAGTCACAATAAATACAATCACAGCAAATTTTAATAAGAAGATAAAAGAAAACACACACATTTAAACGAAGTGATTAGAAAATACGATGAGTATTGATGATGCATATTGATATTATTTCATTGCTTTTAATAAGCATGCTCATGAAACTACCTGCAACTTAATAAAACACAACAAAGTGCCAGATCTCTAGAAAATACACAAATTAGCAGAGCTGATTAAAAAGGAATTGGAAATTTTAAACAGATGAGATAATATGACAAAATAATTCCTCACAATTATTATGAGATTGTTCCATCAGAAAAAAATTTCAAGGACAGACAGTTTCACTGTTAAATTCTTTAAAATAGTTGTGTGAGATGTAAAATGTTCAAGAGTAGAGAAAAATATTGACTATGTCATTATTTAATAAGTGACTGCAACATTTAAATGAAAATCATGTAGTGTGTATAAGACTGTTGAACAAACTCATTTGTGTAGTGATATTTCAGTTGACATAAAAATTTAAAATAAAACACCAGTAAATAAAGTCAAACAAAATGATAAAAATAAAAGCAAACCCATGTTGACATAGAAAAGTATATCCCTGAATGAGAACACACTTTTTTTTTTTTTTTTTTTTGGTTTTTTTTTTTTTTTGGTTTTTTTTTTGGTTTTTCTCCGGTGCCAGGAACTGAACTCACGACCTTGCGCTTGCCAGGCAGGCGCTTTTGCCGCTGAGCTAAATCCCCAGCCCCTGAGAACACACTTTTATTAAAATACTGTGTCTCTCATTAAAACAAAACAACAAAATAAGAAAGACCATGAACATATAAATAGCATGTGATTGATTTCGTATTAAAGATTTCATATTAAATAAGAAAATTCAAGACCATATTAAAAAGAAAATTATGTAAAGTAGCACAAACATATTCTTTCTTAATATAAAAAAGATTCTATACATTAAACCAATTACAAAGATCAAGCTCAATAAAGCTGGCATGATTTAGGAGACAACATGGTGACATACAATGCAGAGTTGATTTACCTGAAAGGAGAAATAGTTAAACTTTCAGAATACTTTATTATCTACTAGAAACTTGTAGACAATGAACTTAACAAAATATTTAAATGAATTAGTAAAAGTCAAGTGGTGGATTAAAGGCTACACATACAATATTCAGTTACTTTTCTTTGTTTGGTTTTGTTTTTTTGAGATAGGGCCTCACTATGTAGTCAAAGCTGGCCTTGAACTTGTGGCAATCCTCTTGCCTCAGCCTCCTGAGTACTGGGATTACAGGCATGTGCCACCACACCCAGCTTTGATTACTTTTACTGTAAATATTTAGAAAACATAATGAATAAAATAATTTGGGAAATAAAATAGATTAAAATATGGTAAGTAAAACATAGCAAGAGTATAATATACAATAAATTGTGAAAATCTGTTATTAAAACAGAAAACTATGTCAATAAAACATTATATTTAAAGACAAATTGGCAAAGCATATGAATAGGTCTCCTATAATGAAGTATTTATTTCATTTCATTCTCAGTCAAGAAAAAGAAAGTAAAAATAATGAAGTACTATTTTCTACTTATCAAACAAATAAAACTTTTCAAAATCAGCCATTTCACTTTGAAAAGGATGTGCAAAACTACTCTTACGAACCATTTGTTAGAATGGAAAAAGGCAATGACCTTGTAAAAGTGATTTTTCAGTAGTTTCCAAGAACCATAGAAGAGTTTCTATCACTGAGCCTGCTAATTCTACTTGTAGCAACATATCCTCAGCAAATTGAGAAATGTATAAAATACTATGCTTAAGGCTTTTCATGATTAGTTTATTCATAGTAGCAAAATATTAGAAACAACCAGAATGTCCAGTAATAATAAGAGGCGTGGCAAAATTATGATGTGCTCATCTGAGACCAGAGCAAATGATGTTTGCTCACACTAGTTGGTGACAGAAAGGAAGAACATGATATGATCTATTTACAGTGAGGCAGAGGGAAAGAAAGGTAAAGAAAACCTGGGAGGAAACATCAAAATATCAATAGGTATGAATCTCTTCGTCATGGGATTTCAAGTTATTTTAAGATTATTTTTATATTTTTTTCTTTTCCTACCATTTTGAGTCAGACAAAAAGCACAAATAAAGAGAATAATATTGCTTATTTGTTTTATTTTTGCCAAGACAAAATACGGCTCTTTGCTATGGCATTAGTATTACTGCTAGTACATTTGCATGGCCTTTTTGTTTATTCATTATGCTTTTCATTTCTTATTTTATTATTTTTAGTTTAACGAGTCCTCCCTTACCCAACCCTCATCACTGCAAGGATCTGTGTCAATACCTGTGGAATGATACAGAGATTAAACCAAGAGTCAAATGGAAAGACATGCGAATCATATGTCACAGCGGTTTTCTACATTCAGTGCTCTGTGGTTTCAGCCCAAAACAGTGACTCTTTTCCAATATTCTGTTGACTGTGTCCAGTACCTACGGATGGCACCTTCCCCTGTGAGGTTAGACTTGTTCTCATGTGTCTGATTAATCTGCCTATTATGGTTTGGCTCTTAAATGCTCCAGTAAGACCTATACGTTCAAGACTTGGACCCCAGATCATGGCACTTCTGGGCAGTGTGGAACCTTTAAGAGGTGAACTCTAATGGAAGGGTCATTAGGAGTGTGCCCTTGAAGGAAATATTGGGATCTCAGCCTCTTCCTATCCTTCTTTGGCTTCCTGACCACCATGAGGTGGGAAGCTTTGCTGCTTTATACATTCCCTGCCTTACATACTGCCTTACCACAAGCAGGTAATGGAAAGCTGACCAGCACAAAGACCAACAGAGCAATCCAAGGGCTGGAGGTTAGTCAGACTTCAATGGGAGCTGCAACCAGTGTCATCCATACATCAGTGCTGGGTAAGAAGCAGTGATAACAAAGAGTTAGAGGATGGCTGGGAAAATCACATACTTCCTTATTTCTCCTCCAGCAATGCCTAGAACTATGCTTGGAACCTAAACACACTTCATATTTAGTAGACCAAATAAAAGCGTCTTTTGAAAATTTTCCAAAAATTCTCTTAGCTATACAGCCAGGTTTAGGTAGGTCATTTCTCTGTGAAGATTTTGTTTTTCATTTTTGGAAACTTTTTAACATGTAGGAGATTAAAACTAAATTTTAGTAACAAGAGTTTCAAGAAGGGATAAACCAAACAACCTTAAATGTGTGCTTTCCTCATGAGAAATAAAAATAAATTGGTCTACAAAGTACTTAACATAATGTTACTCTGACAAATCTAAAGAAGTGTGAGTCACTACAGAACCATTTTTTTTTCATATCAAGACAACAACAACTTCATAGAATTAGTGTGATTTTAATTCAAAGTTTTGGGTGCCAACCAGGGAAACCACTCAAAACAATATAGTGTTGAATTGTGCAACATGGTGCTGTCGGGTTGATAAGCAGCAGTTGATTTTTATAAGACTCTCCTAGATTGCAAAAATGATTAAGGTATGCCTAGGAATATTTTATATATTTAATGCAAAGTTACACTTCATACTGAGGATTAATTAAAAGCTATGTAGTGTAAGAAAGTTTTTTTCCTTAGTAGGAAGAGATAAGATGCTAAATCATATACACATGAAGATTAAGTTTATTTGAGAGACAGAATTTAACACAACACAATGTAGAAATGCTTGGAATTAAGGTTGTAGGAGAATTATGACCTGTTGTTGATAAGTGTGCTGGTGTGAGTGTGTGTCTATGTACATGGAAAATTCGTTTGCTG